GTGCCGGTGCCGCTCGCTGCGGTGTCTGTCCCTGGTGTCTGTCCCTGAATTCCGCCGGTCCCGGGGGAAATTCCCGGGGCGGATCCCAGAGCAGCCCCAGCCCCGCTGCGCCCTCCCGGAGCTGCTCCCCTTCCATTTCAGGGAATTGTTTTTCCTCCAACCCACTGTCACTTTTAGAATTCAATATATTACAAGGTCAGAAATAAAATTAGCTCCTTTTGTTCCTTTACATCTTAAAGTAAGTACATGAGTTATTTCATATGGCAGTGCTCTGAAATCCCAGCCCAAACCAGGCGCTTTTGGGGTGAATTTGGGATTAAGCTGCTCTGGGAGCCACCTCTAGCACCTCTAAGTGAATCAAACTAAATAAACCTTAGGCAGAACTTTTCCCTGTAATTATCCACTTGTTTGCACGAGCCGATGGTCACAAACATCATTTTTGTTTAGGGCTTGCTGCAAAATTTTGGGATCTTTGGTTAAATCCAAGGAGGGGATTTGGGGGTGTTCAGTTCATCCCTCTCTTCACCATCTCCTGCCCAGGTCGCCCAGTACATCAAATTTGAGATGCCCATCCTCAGGAGCTTCATCCAGAAGCTGGAGGAGGAGGAGGACCGGGAAGTGAAGAAGCTGAAGCACAAGTACGTGGGGCTGGGGGGACGCCGGGAGGGAAGGACATTCCTGGAAAAACTCCTTGGTTTTCCCTGCCTGGTGATCCTTCAGTTTGGGGAAGTAGAAAAAAAAAGGAGGGAAAAATCCTTGCGTTGGGATTTTTTGTGGGATTTGCCGCCCGGTTTCGTGGTGCTCCCTGCGGTGGTGCAGCTGCCAAAGTTTGGGGTTTGGCATCCCCCGAGCGGGGTTTGAATTATTCCGGGGTTTTCTCGGGCGCTGAAAAAATTCCGTTTTTATTTCAGGTACTCCATCCTGCGGCTGAGGATCGAGCAGAGGCTGGAGGAGATCTGCGAGGGCCCCACGGCCATGTGAGCGTCCCTGGGATGTGCTGCCCCAAATCCCCAGCCCGAAACTCCCGGGGTCCTCCCGGGGGGCTCCAGCCCCGAGCCGCCCCCTCCCACGCCTCGACCCTCGGGGGCTCCTCCCAGGAAGGCTCTGGCTGGCGGCAGCTTCAGCCAAAACCTCAAATCCCTGGAAAACACGGAGGAAAACCAGAGAAAAAAAGAGGAAATCCGTGAGCAGCACAAAGGCGAGGGCTGCCAGCATTCCAGGGCTGGAATTTTGGGGGGCTCGGTTTGGAAATGCCCAGCGTGGCTCCCTGTGAAGGTCCTGCTGCTCGGCGGCATAAGAGCACAAAATAATTCCTTTTTTTTTTTTAGAAAAAAGCACATTCCCACCCTACAGCTGCAATAATTCCCAGGGGCCGGGAGGATTTTGTAAATCCCAAGGGGTGGCTGAGATTTTGGGGGGGTTTAACCCTGACCTGGGGCTCGCGGGTGGATTTCCAGCACGGGAGAAAATCCTGGTTTTTCCCCAAAGCTGCGTCCGTGGCGCGGCCGCCTCCGTCCCCCGCTGGAATTTGCACTAATATTTTGGGATTTGTAGGAAAAGCGCGATGTCAAACCTCTCTGGTAGCTGAAAATGCCAAATAGCACTCGCAGGGATGCCGGAGGGCCTCGAGCCTCTCCGGGTGGGACAGGAGGGGAGGCAGGAGGAGGGGGAGGCGGAAATAAAGAGGATTTTGTTGTCCAAATCCATTTGCCAGCGGTGCCAGGAAATGATCCTGGTGAAACCACCAGCAGCAGCTGGAAAATCCTCTTTCCTCCCAGGCTAAACCAGCAATACCCATTTTATACCTCGGTGTGAACTAAACCTCTGACTTTCTCCCCTTCCCTTTTGAGTTTTTGCAATGCATCTGTGTATTTGTCATTTTTTTTTTTTTTTAGTTTTAATTTTAATGGTACCTTTTCCACCTTTAACTCACGTTGGGGGAAGCGTTGTACAGCGAGAGGAGCTTTTGATGTGTTTGAAGGATGATTGTGGCGCTGCTGCGTGGATTAACAAGGAAATAAAGTAAAATATGTAGCAACTTAACATAGAATGAAACCCCCTGAGTCAGAGCCTGACTTGTCCAAAATAAATCACTTTTTGTGGCTGGAAATGCCATGGAAATGACTAAAAAATGAGATGAGGGAAAAGAGGAATACCTGAATGTCAGTGAAGTTCCCCAGGGAGAAATGCTCTCACCTCCCAAATTTAAACTCCCACTTGAATTTCTGGGAGATTTTTGGGGATTATTTGGCTGCTTTGGGGTTTATCCAGCCCTTAGGGGTTATTCAGCCCCAGGAATTCTTGATCCCTGCAGGTCTGCAGGCTCCATCCCGGGGGAATTTCGCTCCGGGGAGGTAAAACCCGGGTGTTTTGTCCTGCCGGAGCTCAGCCGGCCCTCCCCGTGATCCCTCCCCGCAGAGGGGCCGGGCTTGCCGCCGGTCCCACCGGGAGCATCCCGCCGGTGCCACCGGGAAAAACCCGCCGGTCCCACCGGGAGCATCCCGCCGGTGCCACCGGGAGCATCCCGCCGGTGCCACCGGGAAAAACCCGCCGGTGCCACCGGGAGCATCCCGCCGGTGCCACCGGGAGCATCCCGCCGGTGCCACCGGGAGCATCCCGCCGGTCCCACCGAGAAAAACCCGCTGATCCCACCGGGAAAATCCGGCTGCTCCCACCGGGAACATCCCGCCGGTCCTACCGGGAGCATCCCGCCGGTCCCACCGGGAAAATCCGGCTGATCCCACCGGGAAAACCCCGAGCGAGCCGCGCCCGGCGCACGGGTAAGGGCAGCACCCCGCATTTCTGGGGTGAAAAGAGCAGGATTTGGGTACAGAGCAGCCGAAAGATGATTGGAATTCGCTTGGCACAAAGCTGGGATGGAGGTTGGGATGGGGAGATGCTCCAGCGCTGGGGATTTCCCTGCCTGGTGATCCCTGAGTTTGGGGAAGCAGAGATGGGGGGAAAATAGGAGAGGGAAAACAGGAGGGGAAAATAGGAGAGGAAAACAGGAGGGGAAAATAGGAGGGGAAAACAGGTGGGGAAAATAGGAAGGGGAAAATAGGAGGGGAAAATAGGAGAGGGAAAATAGGAGGGGGAAACAGGAGGGGAAAATAGGAGGGGAAAATAGGAGGGGAAAATAGGAGGGGGAAAATAGGAGGGGAAAATAGGAGGGGAAAATAGGAAGGGGAAAATAGGAGGGGAAAATAGGAAGGGGAAAATAGGAGGGGAAAATAGGAGAGGGAAAATAGGAGAGGGAAACAGGAGGGGAAAACAGGAGGGGAAAACAGGAGGGGAAAACAGGAGGGGGAAAACAGGAGGGGAAAACAGGAGGGGAAAATAGGAGGGGAAAATAGGAGGGGAAAATAGGAAGGGGAAAATAGGAGGGGAAAACAGGAGGGGAAAATAGGAGAGGAAAACAGGAGGGGGAAAATAGAAGGGGAAAACAGGTGGGGAAAATAGGAGAGGAAAATAGGAGGGGAAAACAGGAGGGGAAAATAGGAGGGGGAAAATAGGAAGGGAAAATAGGAGGGGAAAACAGGAGGGGGAAAATAGGAGGGGAAAACAGGAGGGGGAAAATAGGAAGGGAAAATAGGAAGGGGAAAATCCTCGTGTTGGGATTTTTTGGTGGGATTTGCTGCCCGGTTTTGTGGTGTTTGTGCCAAAAGCTGGAAAAGGGGGACGCTTCTCGGTGCTTTCAAATAACCCCGTTTACAAGGGCTTTCTTTAAAATAACCCCAAAAAAGCCGGAGGAGCAGGGCAGGGAAAGGAGGCACATTCCATGAAATGTGAATTTTCGGAGCTCTGGCACTGGAGCAGGGCAGGGAAAGGAGGCAGATTCCATGAAATGGGAATTTTTGGAGCTCTGGCACTGGAGCGGGGCAGGGAAAGGAGGCAGATTCCATGAAATGGGAATTTTTGGAGCCCTGGCAGGGCGGGCTCGAGCCTGGCACCTTCCAGCCCAGGGAATCGCTGACTCGGGGCTGCTCTGCTTTGTCCCGGAGCTTTTGTCAGCACGGCCGCGGATTTTTGGGGCCGGCTGCGCCCGCGTGGCTCGGCAGCTTCAGCGCAGTCAGCGTTTGCTCAGCCCGGGGGAATCGCGTTCCTGCGGGAACGAGCGCCGGGAAATGCGGGACACTGCGGGGTTGTGGGCCCCATGCCGCTCCCTGCTCGCTGGGAGTGTGGGATGAGGTGAAAATGTGAAATAATGCGTTAAATTAAAGAATGCTGGACTGCCGTGGGTTGGGAGGGGCCCTAAAGGTCATCCGGGCCAAGCCCTTGTTATGGGCAGGGATGTCTTCCACTGGAATGTGTCAATTATGTATCAATATAACATATAAAAATAGGTATAAACACATTAAAATATAATAAAATAATACCACATTTATTAATGTAATACTGTAATAAGATATGGAAAATATAGTATATAATATATAATATATAATATATAATTAATATAATATATAATATATAATTAATATAATATATAATATATAATATATAATATATAATATATAATATAGAATATAGAATATAGAATATAGAATATAGAATATAGAATATAGAATATATAACATAGAATATACAATATACCATATACAATATGATAGCTAAAATATAACCTATAATAATATAATAAAATAATGAACTACTTATTAATATAACAATATCACATATCATTAAATAATACCATACTTAATAATACAATAAATAATAATACAATAATATAATATTATATAATACACTACATGATCTATTATTATGTATTAATGGTCTCTATTAGAAATCATTGGTTATTGATTACATATTGTTATACATTCTGTATTAGCTATAATACATAGTGACCTGGACAATGAATGAATATATAAATAAGTCATAAAATAGGGATAATATAGAGATATAGAAAGAGACAACATAGAGATAACACAGGGATAATAGAGAGATAGAGACAATATAGAGAGAAATAAAATTGTAGAGAGAGATAAATAGAGACAACATAGAGAGATAAATAGAGACAGCATAGAGAGATAGAGATAATATAGAGAGATAAACAGAAACAATATAGAGCTAGAGATAACACAGACAGAGATAATATAGAGAGAATATAGAGAGAAATAGAGAATATAGAGAGATAAAAGGCCCTGAGGTCAGCTTGGTGCTAATAACACCAAGTTTGGGGGTTTGAGCCCTGCCTGGGGCACCCACAGAACCCCGGACTCACAGAAGCACACTCACACTCACAGGATCCCACACTCACAGAACCGCATTTACACACTCACACACTCACAGAACCGCATTTACACACTCACTGAATCACAGAACCCCAGACTCACAGAACCACACTCACAGAACCACATTTACATACACACACTCACTGAACCACATTTACACACTCACACTCACAGAATCCCACACTCACAGAACCACATTTACACACACACACTCACAGAATCCCACACTCACAGAACCGCATTTACACACTCACACACTCACTGAATCACAGAATCACAGAACCACACTCACAGAACCACATTTACACACTCACACACTCACACAATCACGCACTCACAGAATGCTCAAAACACTCGCAGAGTGGTTTTTAACCACTCGCAGAACGGTTAAAAAAGACTCACAAAGTTTGTGCAAGACCTTTGAGCCCAGCGGGCCCAGCCCGTCACCCCGCACCCCCAAACCAGCCCCGGGGTCCCTCCCGCGCAGCGGAGCCCGCGGGGCTGGCGGGTCCCGGTCCCGCTCTCACCGCTCCCTGTCCCGCAGCGGGGCGGGATGCGGGCCCTGCTCTCACCGCCCCTTGTCCCGCAGGTGGGGCGGGATGCGGGTCCCGCTCTCACCGCTCTATATCCCGCAGGCGGGGCGGGTCCCGGCCCCGCTCTCACCGCCCCTTGTCCCGCAGGTGGGGCGGGTCCCGGCCCCGCTCTCACCGCTCCATATCCCACAGGTGGGGCGGGTCCCGGCCCCGCTCTCACCGCCCCTTGTCCCGCAGGTGGGGCGGGTCCCGGCCCCGCTCTCACCGCTCCATATCCCGCAGGTGGGGCGGGTCCCGGCCCCGCTCTCACCGCCCCTTGTCCCGCAGGTGGGGCGGGTCCCGGCCCCGCTCTCACCGCTCCTTGTCCCGCAGCGGGGCGGGATGCGGGCCCCGCTCTCACCGCTCCTTGTCCCGCTCTCACCGCCCCTTGTCCCGCTCTCACCGCTCCATATCCCGCAGGTGGGGCGGGTCCCGGCCCCGCTCTCACCGCTCCATATCCCGCAGGTGGGGCGGGTCCCGGCCCCGCTCTCACCGCTCTCTGTCCCGCAGGTGGGGCGGGTCCCGGTCCCGCTCTCACCGCTCCATATCCCGCAGGTGGGGCGGGATGCGGGTCCCGCTCTCACCGCTCCATATCCCGCAGGTGGGGCGGGTCCCGGTCCCGCTCTCACCGCTCCATATCCCGCAGGTGGGGCGGGTCCCGGCCCCACTCTCACCGCTCCTTGTCCCGCAGGTGGGGCGGGATGCGGCCCCCGGAGCTCGCCCGCCGCTGGGCGCTGCTGCTGCTGCTGCTGCTCGCCCTCCTCAGCGACGCCGCC